TGCTTGGTCCCGGTGGACTGCCCAAAGCCCAGCGTTGGGGCGGACCTGGGCAGGAAAAGGGCCGCTGAATCATTCGGCTCCAAATTTCATCTGCACGGTTCCGGGTTTAGGGTTTAGGGTTTAGGGTTTATCATATATCGCCCTGAACCCTAACCCTAAGCCGCCGGAGCTTGGACCAGAACTGGAGTGCCGGATTCAAATTAGTCCCGTCACACCCAGGGCTCCGAACACGGCAGACGGGGGAGGAGGACCCCTGCGGAACTGCAGGTGCTTACGGGGATCGTCTTGCCGCGGAGGAGTGGAGGCAGTTCGTGCTGCTGCGTCGTCTCGTAGCAAGGCAGCCAGGACTTGAGTGACAATCGCTCACGGCTGGTCGAGCGGCTGTGGGCAGCAGAGTTCCAGGTGTTTGGTGGCTTTGGGGTTTCGGAGTTTAGTGGTTCAGGGCTTTGGGGCTTCGGGTTTGAAGGGTTTTGGGTGTAGGAGCTTGAGGTTTGGGGTTTCGGGTTTCGGAGTTGAGGGTATGGAGACCTTGTTCCCAGAGCCCGATCACTAAGCTACAAGAACCTCGCAAGTGTGAACCCTCCAGCCCGAGTCCGTCATCCACTCCGGACAGCCCAGCTAACTGCCGTACTACTCCTTAAGCCGATGTAGAAGATAGTACCCAAAGCCGAGTAACCTGAACCCAGCTTTCAACTCTCGACCCAAATCAGTAACCCCTGCAGCTACCCAGATCTTCCAATATCCCTTTCTTCAATCAAAGACTATACCTTGAACTATAGACTATAGTAGGACCCCGATGATGATTCTACGGAATTCCGTCACGCGGGGATATTTAGAAATCTGAGTATCCAAATAAGCAGCAAATGTGCTGTTGAGATACTCCGCGGCCTCCGGTGGACGGGGCAGGCTCCGCGAAGGAACCAGTCTCCTACCCAGCAGACCCAAAGCCAATGAATGAAGGCACAGACATGAAATTAGGAGGCCGGTATACCCTAAACCCCAAGCCCTAAAACTTGTTTTTGTTTTAATGTGGTTTTTGTCCCCGAGACAAGGGCTCGAAAGTCGGCACTGTGCACATCCCTTACTTTCGGCAAACTCACCTGCATCCAGAATTTGCTGAAGGATGTCGAAGACGTCAGGGGCCGGGAGGTTGTGAAAACTCATGCTGAATGCCTCGCATCAGGTCACCGCGGTACTCTCGACTTGGTCCAATAGCGAGGCTTTGGTGCTGCCATGCACGCACCATCCAAAACACCGAGCAAAACCAGAACGTGCTGGCAAGGACCGAACGCTTATAACAAGAGACTTATAGAACCCTTCTACCAAAAAACATTAGATGGTATTCACAACTATCACAACTTGTCCTTTAAGCGTCGACTTCTAGATGGACCCCAAACAACCTCGTCCCAGCAGCTCGCAGAAGTCGAACTGCGTCTAAACCCCGAGCCCTAAGCCATAAAGCCTAGATCGACCCCAAAACACAACCCCGAACCCAAAGCCTCTTCGTCACATTACTCTTTCAACCTCACTTTCATGAACTTCGCTGGCAAGACTGTGAATCTTCGGGGGCAAGGCTCACATCCCAAATCCTGGTGGGCAAGGCCTAAATCTGGAAATCCGAACCCTGCATTCATAAACCGGAAATAATGGTCCGAAGCCCTAAAACCTGCGTAGAAACCACAAGAAGCCTGCTTGAAGGATCTGTATAGGGTGGGTTGGGGAACTTCCCGGATGGCCTAGCAGATCGGCTCCTGAAGTCCACCAGGCACCAAAGGATCCGGTAACAGATGACCGGGCTTTGAAGTCCAGCAACGGATGTCGTAACGGTTATTTGCTTGCTGAAAAGGCAAAGCGGTTGTTTTTCCTCTGCAGGGGGCTTGTTCCCTGTCTCAAGTAAGTGGTCTGAGAGCAACAACTCTAGTCAATAAAATGTGTGTTTTCTGCAGTTTGTGCTTGCTTCTCAACTCAAATAGAGCGGCTGAGAGCGTCAACTGCTGTTAACCAAAGGGTTTCTTATTTCTGCATTGTGTGAGGTTGAACTGCTCCGCGTGGACGAGGATTCAAATTTTGTAGTTCAATGTGCGGGGATTCCCTGGCTGGGTGGGCATGTTTGGAGACTCGAAACAGCGAGCTGGACTAGAAACTGCTCAACCCGGAGCTGCTAAACCCCAAACCCAAGACCCCCCAAACCTGAATAACCCCCTAAATCCCCCCTGAACCCTGAACCCCAAACCCTAAATCCCAAAACCATACAGCCCAAACCCCAGAGCCTAAACCGAAAAAGCTCCTCAGCTCGTCCAGGAGGGTTCGGGCCAACCGGCCCAAGCCCAACATGAAGCCATGTTCCTTTCTGACTCTTCTTGGATCAGGGGCTTAGGGCATAGGGTTTAAGGGTTAAGTGTGGGGATTGAAATTTTAGGGTGTTGGGCTCAAGTCTTCTATTTGCTTAGGTTCGTTTGAAGGGCTTTTTGTTTTTAGGATTTCTCGCTTAAGTTATTGGATGGGGGGTGTTATTTCGATCCTTTCTCCGTCTGTTTTCCAGTGCTGCGGGGTGGATATGGTTTCAGGCTCCAGGGTCTAGATTTAGGGGGGTTACAGTAAGGGTTTTCTGGGTCTAACTAAAGTCCCGGTTCTTGAAGATTTGTTGTTTTGGGTTGTTGATTTTCAACTGTTGGGGCTTAGCATTGTGGGATAAGGTCTTGGCGCATGGTGGTTTACGTTTCCCAAAGGGTCCAAGTACCGATGTAGTACAGTAGCTATTTACTAGATATTAGCGCCGCTTCTTCCCTTACTTGGACCCTTTGGGTTTCGTGACTTAGCACATGGTGGTTTTGCGGCTTTTCAGTTGAGGCTTCGGATTTGTTGTTTCTGCGGAGTAGGGTTTGGGTGTTAGGGCTTCTGGCTTGGATTGTTGCAGACCCGTGGTGCGAAATAATACGACAGTGCACATCTTCTGATTGAGATCTTCTCCTGCGCTGCGGAAGGGAAATTAAAACTGCTCGTTGTACGTTTGTAAGGATCTACGATTCTCAGGGTTTAAGCATTCCATGGGCCGCTCATTCGTGCTGCTTCAATTTGGGCCGAGTGCTCGCACTCGCATATCTTTGTGGGATAGAGATGAGACACGGATGTAGGCGAAGAACGCACGGTCGTAACGCAAGTTGTGAAGTTGTAAAGTTGTTGCACTTTAAAACCAGAATCCCGAATCGCTGAAACTCCGAAACCCCTGAAGCACGGGCATTCCAAGCTTTGTATATCCGACTTCAACGACTTGACAACCCGCAAAGCCTTGAGCCCCTGAAGACCCAAATGTAGCCACCACACCTCGGCAAGGACTGCTTAGCTGGCCTGGATGAGTTGAGATTTTGGGACTCCCAAACCGGACTCAAACAAAAACTCTCTACAGCCTACACCTCTCCCCGCCACAAGTTGGACCGTGCCGAAGTCCTAGGCTTAACAAAAGCTGCTTACAGCCTAAAGCCCTCCCCTTCCTGGACCATACCGAAATCCTGGGCCGAGCAAAACGCTGGGCACCCGGACCATGGGACGGCGTATCAGGAAATGGCAATATTCCTGCACGAATCGTCGGGCACCCGATAGGAAAAACTATAATGGAAATCCTACTCCTTGCTAGTCATTCAACCCAGGGGACAAGTGTTGGCTAGCAGATGCACCGACTCAAGAGCCATTTTCGGAATGCAATTTTTGACACGGAGAGTTTCCTTGCTTACTTGTATTCCCGAACCCTGCGGCCGATACGAGAGGAGGAGACAGAATCCGAGAGTCCTCCCTACCCAGAGAGACCGACACCCCGCTGAGGCACGGCAGAGCATCTATCTACAAAAACCGAAATCTTCGCAACAACATGGGAAGAGGTGCTCAACTGCTGTTCGTGCACCTCTGATCTCAACCTTATAAACGGCAGCAAGCCCTGCGTGCCGAGGCAGTGAAGGGGGGTCGACGCGGGCTTGAGTAGAATTAAGTAGTCGTGAACATGCCTGAGCATGATCTCGAACTGGCTTCTTTCGTGTTGTGAAGCTTCGTCTTGGCAGAGCTGCGGTGCAGCGCTCGTTGATGGAAACGCACGAGGCTCGATTCTGGATGTCGTGCCGACGCATAGGCCGTTCCGAGCCCTGGCCTGCACATGCTCTTCGGCTAAGTCTTCCAACGCTGCGACTCGGCGTCTGCAATGTCGAAGACCACCGGCGTTTGCGCAAGGGAGACGATGTTTGGCCTACAAACGTAGGTGGGCTCTGTGCAGTGAATTTTCGAAGATTGCCACACATCTGCCCATAGCAGGGAACACCTGCAGGGAAGTGGCTGATCTCACTGCCCTGCATCCCGAAGGTTCTACTCGCTGCGGCAAGAGCGCGTGTGGTGCCAAAGCCTTCGCGTTCCGACGGTGACGGCTCGTGTACATGGGAAGCGGGGAACCGTGTCAGAAGCGCAAATCTCCGCCTCCGCTATCTTACTGGAGCCTCTATGACTCGAGTTACATTCTGAATTGGGGGCTATCGAGCTCTCGTTGACCGCAACACTAAAGCCGACCCTGGCTTCTGGCCTTGATTCGGAGGTATTCGGCTCTCGCGCATGGCATCGCATCATAGCCCCTCCCTTTCAACAGCATAGTGGACACTTCCTCAGATTCCATCTTCTTCCAGGTCAAAGGAGGGTACGTAAATCCCTACACCCCAAGCTGAAAAAGCACAAAGCCCTACGGCCCTTAACCCCCACGAAGCACGGCACTTAGAGACTTACAGCCCAGCGAGCCATTATTCCAAGGACGATGGAGCTCGTACAGCATCAGGTGTAGAACCTCGGTGATCCTTTTTAGAGGCCCCTCCAATTCTTGTGAGGCCTGGAAGTCTACACAACAACTTGAAACGCTAAACCGTGATAAACCCCCAAAGCCATTCGATAAGCCAAGCAGCCTCTATAGAATCTTTGTAAGGGAGCCTTCAGCAACCGAGGCCCCAACGACACCTTGCAAGGCTTTCCCCCTAAACGAAGCATTCACCTATGCCCGCCTTCCATTCAACAAGGCCGCCGATCCATACCTGACACGGGGAGGTCCTAGTAGGATGTTAGGATGTACTGGGCACAAAAGACTTCCGTCTGCATGGTTGCTAATGCTAAAGGTCAGCTTTAGGTGCCTTGTCAGCCCACATCGAACCATCCCTTACCCTCAACCCCAAAAGGCAAAGACTCCCTAGCAAGGTACAGATATCACCCAGGTCCTGGACCCTTAGCCGTAGCTATAAACAAAGAGATCGCGCCTAACCGTCAGGCTTTGAAAATTCCGAGCTGGTAGGGTGTGTACATGAGGTTTTTGTTTAGGACTCACAACTATCGAAATTGGGGGGTTAAGGGTTCAACTGCGAGAAGCCTCCCAGACCCCCCCCCCCCTCCAAAAAAAAAAAAAAAACTTAT